GTTTTTTTTTTTTTTTGATCTTAGTTTTTTGAATGTTGTGTTTTAAGCCAGCCTTTTCACTCTCGTTTTTTACTGCCATCGAGGGGCTCTTTAGTTCTTTATTTTCTGTACCTTTAATAAATCGCACCCTCCACCACCACATATGCATATTAAAGTGTTTCTTCCTTTCTCTCATCCTTCTTAATGCTTTTTTCCCTCTGCCTCTTATTCCTACTCTTATTTGTACCAGTAATACAGTCCCACCTCTTTGAGAGACCTTTGGATAAGACAAGGAAAGGAAAAAGGATAAATTTCATATATATTCCAAATTGTGTTTTGTTGGGTTTGAGGGGGAGGAGGGAAGCATTAGAATTTATTGAGAGAAAAGCATTGATAATCAGATCCTTGGTTAAAAACCTTAAGCATAACAAAGTAGGTGTTAAAAGTTTTAATTGAAGTCAATATAGGTGGGTAGTATGATTTGGAGGGACGTTGTTGGGACTGAAAGAACATCTTTGGAAATTCAGGCTATGCTATTTAGTATCACTTAATAAAAAAAATAGGTGCATTTCTTAATTGTATTAATAAAAAAATAGGTGCATTTCTTAATTGTATTAACGTACATTTCTTAATCTGTAAATGGTTTCTGTAATCAGCTCAGTTTAGTCGCTCAGTTGTGTCTGACTCTTTGTGACCCCGTGGACTGTAGCACTCCAGGCTTCCGTGTCCATCACCAACTCTCGGAGCTTGCAGAATCGGTGATATCATCCAACCATTTCGTCCTCTGTCGCCCCCCTCCCGCCCCCCACCACCTTCAATCTTTCCCAGCATCAGGGTCTTTTGAAATGAGTCAGTTCTTCCCATCAGGTGGCCCAAACATCTTTAAACATTGTGATTCTATTAGATCATCTGTTTATAATATATATCATGTCTCTCTCTCACACACACACAGAGTTGACTCTTGAACAGCGTGGCTTGAACTGTGCAAATCCAATTCAATGAAATTGGAATTTTATTTTATTTTGAGGCAGTAATGGGAGGCACTGAGTTAGGGATGCCCATTAGGCACATTAAAACAGGATCTGAAATTCAGTTGAACTCCTGGTTGGAAAAATATATTTAGTAGGTCAGTGGTAGTAGTTGAAACTGGGCTGAGAATGAGTTTTCTAGAGAATGGAAAGAAAGATTTCAGAATGAAGCCCTGGGGATTATGTACAGGAGGAGAGCTGTCAGGAGAAAAGAGTTAGAGAAGATAATAGGCAAAGACTGACTGTTCACGAATTTGTTATTTGTCTGTATAAACCGGATCCAGCTCCTGTATTTCACATCCAGGACAGAATGATGTCATTGAAAGCATATCTGTAGTAATTGCCAAATGGAGTAAATTCTAGTTTTTATGTAAGTGTATATATATTTTTCCCAACATTTTTTCCTTTTCTGTCTTTTTATTGAGTTCATTTGATGTATCTTATCTGGAATAAAGATTTTTTCTAGTAGTAAGAGATGTCCTTAATATTATCAGATGGTAGACTGTGATTTTGCTTTTTCCTTAGCAGAATAATTATCATTGGGAAGAGGCCTCTCAAGAAAAATAAATGAAGAAGCATCTTAGGATTCTCATTTAATTAGCCTTGCCTGGACTATTGGAAGATAACATAAAGATAAATTGGTGTGCTTATCCATAATTTTCACAGGAAAACTATCTCTAATATAAAATTAAATTTTATAAATTTCCTCTATTTCAAAAATGCTATTTTAGCATTCACTTAGTATCTGATATTTATATATCATTTTCCTTGGTACTTTTAGATGAAGAGGATGAGAGTTAGTAGATCTGATTTTACATTCCAAGAGGAAAAATAAGCTCCTGTGTGGACATTTGCAGATGCTGTATTTATCTTACTCTCTTGGAGAATAAATTCTTCTCATACAGATATGTTATTGGGTAGCCAGACTTACTCAGTTAAATGTCAGGGGAAAAGGGGGAAACCATTTTATTTTACAAGGGACCCTTTCTTGTCATTGATTGATTGATTGCTGTGTGGCACAGCTTGCAAGTTCTTAGTTACCCAACAAGGGATTCACCCCGTGCCCCCTGCAGTGGAAGCAGAGTCTTAACCAGTGGACCTCCAGGGAATTCCCTCCTGTCTTTTAAAATAGTGAATATGATTTGAACTTCAAGGTAGTCCTTTTATTGGCATACTTTGGGCTCTTAGGCTGTGTAGATTTACGGTTATGCTTTTGACTTTTTATCGTTTTCCTTCATGTTAAGAGGTTGGGAAAAAGAAAAGTAGATGTTTTAAAGGGGGAGGAGACACCACTCTATTGGTCTCTGGCCCGTAGGAGTGCGTTGGTGGCCTCTTAGGCCAGGAGGGGCTATATGGGTGGGGACAGTTGGGGACAAAGAGCCTGTGCCTTTGTGGTTGACGTCTTCACTTGCCTGTTTGCTGGGTTACATTGTCACACGGTTAGATGTGGATCCCAATGGAACAGCCTGAAAAAGACAAACAGCCACTGTAGCAGCATCCCTGAGCACCAAGCCACTTACCCTCCTATGAAAACTGGAGTGGACCATTGGGCAAAGAGGTTGTACCCTTTCACTCCCTGGCAATAAGTGGTCTCTGGAGATGAGTAAGATTGTAGTAGATAAAAATCTAAACAGATGTCATTTGAAGATATACCAACACCAATGGAACAGTAAGCTGAGGATGGTTAAGCACACTTTGCCTTTTATAACCTGGTGATGCCATTGACTTAGTGTACAGGAAGACTGAGTTGGAACACAGTGTTGCTGCATACCTCTGCAAAACTTTACAAGAAAACCAGGGCATAACAATATTCTGAAGATTTTTAAGTATTCTGCATGAAGATATGTCAGTGCAGCACAGGGTGACAACCCCCATGTTGTCTGCCACTTAGGTGGGCTTTGAGGAACAATAGCCATTGACATCATCAACGTAGTCTCTACCTTCTTCTGCAGGGTAATAGCATTCTTCCAGTTCTACATTAGGGGGTTCAGGCAACCCTACTTGAAAAGCTGGGGTGCATTTGTGGCAATCTTTGCTTCACCTCACCCAGATAGAGAGGGAACATCGTTTTCTTTCTTACATCCCTGGGTGCAAGAGGATTTAGAGCCTCTTCATTAAAAAGAAAATGAAAAGAGATAGGGAGCCTAATCTGAGCACGTAGTTGTTGGTCATGTACCAGCATAGAAACACCCAAACTTCACTACATGAGGCTATCAGAGCTATGGCCATGAGGCCAGACAAGATGGGTATGCTCACAAGCATCATCTCTTAGGAGTCTGCAAGACTGTACTGCACTCTTGGGATGCCTTTTATTGTGTGATTATAGAATCATTGGAAGCATCATGTGTATTACTGTTGTGGCCTCGGCATTTTCCTGAAAGCTGATTTACCGTAACTGCTTCCCACTTACCAGTGGCTACTACAGCCCCATCCTGATTTCTTCTGGGGCCACAAGTGAACTAGTAATGCAGAGCCGTTTCATGCAGTGAAATCAATAATAAAAACAGACAGTGGTCAAGACTTCAGCGTGAGTGGAGGCACAGAGGTATTGAGTATTGGAGGTCAGCGAGTGGGTGTTTTCAAAAGCTACCCATTGTAAACACTTTAAGGGCATTTTTATATTAATAGTTTCTCTCTCAGTAGAAACTGGACATCTCTCTGGTGTGACTTGTGGAGCTTTTTCTTCTGAGTGAGACCTTTTCCACCGGCCTGGAAGGCCACATTCCATATTCCTAATATGTAAATGGAGCTCTAAACCCCTTTCTGTGCTTATTTCCTGGTATCCAGTGGCTGATGCAGACAGTGGGTCCTGGGTCAGGTGGGTGAGTATGGTAGGCAGGTCGGGTCAAGGTCTTGACAGAGTGGGTGGTGTGAGTGTTTTATGTGTGTATGTGTGTGGTGGTGCCTCTGTCCCATGATGTTCTGCTCTTACTGTGTGCATCTGTGGAGCAGGCCCTTCTGGTTTAGACTGTGCAAAAGCACACTAATGGTGCACAGGAAACCAGTTCCAGCTGCTATAAAGCAGTCCATCTGCAGGGCCGTTGCTTCCCTTATTCTTTCCTTTTGCCTTAGTTTTGCCGTGTCATGGCATAATACTAGAAATCTTTTATTTGTTAAAATCACCTATTAATGCTTGTTAGTAAAACTTGTAACTTTTTGTTACTTTTCATGAAAATGATTTACAGTTCTCTTACTCATGATATAAACTCTTGAGAATTAGCACTCTTTTTGGTGGCGTTCTAGTAAACAAGCTATGCTTGTTTAATAAAAATTCTATTTAAAGATAGAATAAAAACATTGAGTAAGAGCATGCTGTCTCTTGACTGAAAAATAAATTTTACTGAAGAGCTTTGGCATTTATTTTGGTTATTTAAAAGTTTCCACCACATTCTCAAATTTTTATTTTGATTAAATGGTGATTGACATCAGTAGTGATGCTCATCTAGTTATATAGGTACTACCTTCTCATTTTTAAACATACCTGTAAAAATGTTTATAATAAATTGTACATGTGCTGTGTGTTCTTCGTTGTGTCCAGCTCTTTGTGACCCTGGAGACTGTAGCCCAGCAAGATCCTCTGTCCATGGGATTCTCCAGGCAAGAATACTGGAGTGGGTTGCCATTTCCTCTTCTAGGGGACCATCCCGATCCAGGGGTAGAATCCGAGTCTCTTATGTCTCCTGCATTGGCAGCTGGGTTCTTTGCTACTAGCACTTACTGGGAAGCCCAGCAAATTGGAATAAGGAAAGCAGTTGAACAGTAACTGCACAGATGTACATTATTTATTCGAGTTTGTAGTGATGGAAAAGATAAAGGGATGTAGTTTTTCCTGTTTTTTTTATGGTTAGTATATAATTGTAGTGTTTATTTGTGTGTGTGAAAGCAAAAACAAATAAGATTTCTTGATTTACTTTGTATGTGTATTTTTTTTTCCATCTAGGAGTCTATATTCAGGACGAAGTAATCCCAGGAAAGGAGGAACAGCAGATCAAGATGTGTAGCTCTGTGGCTGCCAAGTTGTGGTTCTTGACAGATCGTCGAATCAGGGAAGACTATCCCCAAAAAGAGATCTTACGAGCATTAAAGGCCAAATGTTGTGAGGAGGAACTGGACTTCAGGGCTGTGGTGATGGATGAGTTGGTGCTAACAGTTGAACAAGGAAACCTGGGTAAGTCTATAGTTAAGTAACAGTTTGGATTTTTACCTAGAATTTGGTGATTCTTTTTGTTTTAGGAATAATTAGGTCAAAGGATCTAGGTAATAGGCTTTGTCATTACTAAGTATCATATAGTCTAAAAATCTAGTATATCTTACAGAGGAAATGAAAACACCAGTACTTATTAAACCCTTCATTTTATTATTTATTAAATAGTTGTGAGGGACGTTAAAGATAACCTACTGCTTTTTTCCCATTATTATTGTCTTCTACTTTTTAAAAAGTCTTGCTTTTAAGATGCCTCTAAAGGAATTTGTACTCCAGTCAGGAGTCCTTCTAGTAAATTAATCAAAATCCATGTGAGATTCTTCTTTTCTTTTTTCTTTAGCAAATACTTTGTAGGTATGGTGTATAATATTAATAGTATTTTTAATGGATAAAAGTGTCTTAACTGATGAGTTTTTAAAAAATATTTCTAATAGTTCATATTGTTTTTGGATTACTAGGGGAAGGTATTTTGGAAATGTATTAGAAATTCTTTAGGACTGTCTTTCAGGAATCTTTCAGGACATCTTTCCTTTGGAAAAGTTAGGATTTGTTACAGCTAAATTGGTCACCTCTGTTAGGGAGAGGTGGTTATTGGTGGTGCTAGTGATAATCTACTTGCCAATGCAGGAGATGCAAGAGAAGTGGTTTCAATCCCTGGTTTGGGAAGATCCCCTAGAGAGGAAATGGCACCCAACTCCAGTATTCTTGCCTGGCAAGTTACAGTCCATGGGGCCACAAAGAGTCGGGCTTGACTGAGCAATTGAGCTCGCACAGTAGTAAGGCAAAGTACAGGTCTGCTATTGTAGGGTAACATGAGCTAGTTAATAATAGATCCAGAATCTTGCCTGATTTATACTGTGATATCTTGGGTTTAAGTAAGTAGAATCTTGTAGCAAACAATCACTCTTTGTCTCAGTCCTCTCAACATTTTTTATTGCATTCTCATTACCTTTCAGTAGTTATTGTTTCTTTACAAATAACTGCTTTAGAAATATTTCTAAATTACTTCACTTGAATTAATAAATAGTTACTCCGTTTATAAGAAAGATGCATACCATGTTGTTTTCAGTCCAGTTTTTTTTTTTTTTTAAAATACGTGTGCCCAGTTCTAACACCTTACATGGATTCAGAAAAATCTGGGGTAGAGCGTGTGTCATTCTTTCATTAAAATTGAGTACCCACTTTTTGCTAGTTAATTGGTAACGGTGTGTAAAATTAGACATTAACATTAATCAGTTGATCACAAATAAATGTAAAATTATTATGAAAGGAATTGGATGTCACTGCATCCTCCTATACAGATAAATTTCCCTTGAAATCTTTTATCTAGTATCTGTTACATGCTTTTACAACTTTATAATTATAAGGTCCATACAACTGTTGTTGAAAATAAAAACTCTTTGTGTTAGAAGCGTGTTCTTGAAGTCTGAATGAGAAGAGATCTCAAGGACAGTGTGGTATCTTAGCTCACTAAACACAACTTCCACAGGCTTCTGGTGTATGTTTCTGTGTTTTAAAGGTTGAAATACTAAAGGCTGTATTTCCAAGAGTTCCCTGTGTTGCTCATGTGACCTAGCTTCTGTCAAATAGGCACATTACATAAAGATTTGAGAGGTACAAAATCGCTATTTTTCAGAAGTTTCATAGGTTGAAAACCATTGTCTTTGATTTTTTCCTAGGTGCCTAATGGACATTTTTACTTTGTTCTCAACTGTTTCCATGCCAGTCTGTCAAAACTGAACCCATGTTTCCCCCCTAAAACAATCTTATTTCAGTTTTTCTGTCTCTGTAACATTGCCTTTTGGCCTTTTTATCCATTCTTAAGAGCCATTTATACCACACAATATTGTTGCTTTTTCCTTCCAAGCCACAACTATTCTAACTTCTACTTCTCACTGTCCTGGATCAGCGTCTTAGGGCCCAACATTTTCATGACACAACAGCCCTGTATCGCTTTTTCACAGTCTTTCCTCTGCAGCCCTCTCTCATTCACAAATACTACCTTTATCATCTTAACATGATAAAGCCTTGAGAAACTCTTGTTTCCCCATAACATTGAATCTAATTTTATATTAAAGACTTTTCATTGACGTACATCATATGAATCCAGGAATTCCTAGTTGTTTTTTTTTCATATTTTGTGTATTTTTTAATTATTTAAATCTCATACCATCTTGTAAGAAGGTAATATCATCTTATAGATGAGGAAACAGGAATTAAGTGGAGAAATAATAAAATCCCTCTTCTAACTATTTATATACCTTTATTGAGAGATTTATTTTTGCATATTACTTTGAGTTAACTGACAAATGTCCTGTCTTTTCACCTTGCCGCTCATAATCCCATTCATTATTTGCTTTTCTGTGAATGCCTCTTTTTTGAATTAGAGTTTTGCTGGGTATAGGAGTCTTAGTTGGCAGTTTTTTCTTTTAGCAGTTTGAATATATTAACTTCCTATCTTCTGACCTCCAAAGTTTCTAATGAGAAATCTACCAGTGATTTTATTGAAGATCCATAGAATGTGGTGATTTGCTTCTCTCTTGCATTTAAAAATTATCTCTTTGTCTTTTGAAAGATTGATTATAGTGTATCTCACCATGTGTCTGTCAAAAGATGGAGATTGTTGAACTTCTTGAATGTTTATATTCACATCTTTCATCAAATTTGGGAAGTTTCAGCCACTACTTCTTCAAATATTATCCTCCCCGAAGTCTTCCTGGGACTCCAACAATACATAAGTTTACTGATTGTTCTGTCTGCTAAAATCCACTTTGAATTCCTTTATGTGAATTTTCATTTCTATTATTCTCTTCAGCTCCAGAATTATTTATTGGTTTCCTTTTATGTGTTCTGTTTGCTGAGATTAACATTTTGTTCACACATTGTTTCCTTGACTTTTTTCATTCTTTGAGTATCTTTAAGGTAGTTTTCCCCCTTTAAAAAATTTTTTTGTATTGAGGTATAGTTGATTTACAGTGTTGTGTTAGTTTCAGGTATACAGCAAAGTGAATCAGTTATTTTACATATAAGTATATCTGTTCCCAATTTATCTCCGCACCCCCTCCCCCATAGTTTCTTTTAATGTCTTTGTCATGCTCAGTTACTCAGTCATGTCCGACTCTTTGTGACCCCATGGGCTGTAGCCCGCCTGGCTCCTCTGTCCATGGAATTCTCCAGGCAAGAATACTGGAGTGAGTTGCCATGCCCTCCCCTAGGGAATCTTTTTGACCCAGGGATCAAACCCAAGTCTTTTATGTCTCCTGCATTGACAGGCGAGTTCTTTACCACCAGCACTACCTGGGAAGCCCAGTGGAGGGAGTGGTACAACAAAAAGTACTATGGCCTCGTTGTCTGCACCTCTGTGATCAGAAGCTGCATCCAGCCATCACAGCAGAGATCCCAGATGTTTTGAGGGCAGGTCGTTATACCCACCCTGACTCCTGCAGGGTGTGTCAGCTGCTCCAGAACCAAGTGCACAGTATGGCTAGAAACTGGGCGATGAGTAGTTGTTGCTGTTCTGAAATTGATCAAAATTAACTGCGTTTATGATCCCAGTCTTTTTCTGAAAGTTGTGGTCCTTCAGCAAATTGACCAGGGGCTGTCTAGATGGTGAGACAGAGTTCTGATGCTTCCTACTCCTTCATCTTTCCAGAATCCTCTCTATACTCATTTTTTATTGTGGTGTATCTTTTTGTTTTGTTGTTTTACATTTTGGGAACAAGTCTCTTATGGGATTATGTGTACCATGAATATCTTTTATCTGTGGCTTGCCTTTTTCTCTCTGTTAATGACATCTTCTGGTCAGTAAGTGTTGAATTAAGTACAGTTTATATTTTTCCTTTTTTGATTAGTGCCTTTTGTGTTGCAGTTAAGAAAATTGTGTGTGCCCAAGAGTCTTTATTTTAAAATACATGCTGAAAATCTACTTGATAAAACACAGCATTATTAGGTGAAATTAGTGTTAAGAAAAGGGCATTATACTGTGGTACCATTGTCTAAAGATATGTGAGTGTTTTAAGAAATAATTAATAAAAGGTTTTGATAAAGAATTCACCTGCTCAGTGGTAAAGAATTCACCTGCCAGTGCAGGATATGCGAGTTTGATCCCTGGGTCAGGAAAATCCCCTGGAGAAGGAAATGGCAACCCACCCCAGTACTCTTGCCTGGAAAATCCCATGAAGAGGGGACTCTGGTGGGCTATAGTTCATGGAATCACAAAGAGTTGTACGTGACTTAGAGATTAGACAACAAGAACAACAATGATTACCTTTAGTGAAAAAAAAAAGGATTGAGGACAGGGATGAGCAAAACTACTCTGACAAGTTTGGGCATGTATTGATAATTTTTGAAAGCAGGTACGTTGGATTTATTATATTTTTATTTTCTATTTAGAATTTTCCTTAATAAAAAGTTGAAATGTGTGACCTGATGAAAGTTTGTTTGACTCAACGATAGAAGGAGAAATTTTGGAATTTAGTGATTTTTGGTATGGCACCTTGTTGAGTTTATAAGTTGTTTCTTGCTTCCTGGATTCCCAGAATTGCCCTGGTGTTTTTTTGACCCCGGTTTTTACAGCATTCTTTTTTTTTTTTTTAAATTCTGTGCATAATCCTATATACATCATTATTATTTTTTTTCCTGCTCAAGTTAACTAGAGATATTTTAATTGCTTACAAATCAAATAACCTTCCCCAATACAAAATTAATTCCAGAGAGCATGTTGCCAACAATAGACCTTTAGAGACTTGGTTACTTGGCATAGATAGCATAGAAATCAATTAAGACTACCTTTCCAGAATGGGATTCTAATAATCCAAGGCACACAGTGGTGAAACTGGAGATTAAGTAATTAATTTTATTCACTTGTAACCATGGCCTCTTGATGAAACTGAAAGAGAAGAGTGAAAAAGTTGGCTGAAAATTCAACATTCAGAAAACTAAGATCATGGTATCTGGTCCCGTCA